CGCGACCTGCTTCCTCCCCCGACCGCGCTCTTCGTCGACGTGCACCGGCCGCATACGCATTCGCGAACTACGCGCGCAAAACGAACTCACGTGTGCTCCGGTACGTGCGGCTTATACGTATATGCGTGTATATATTATATATATGTATTTATAATATATATATATATATATATCCATATACACACACGTAGAATGTATATGTATATACGCGTATGTGTGTAACACATACGAATCCCTACGTGAGAGTATGTATCGTCACGCTCATAGAACGGTTCACGAGGTGAAAATTGAAAACGGAGCGGCGCGCGAGCGCGGAAGACGATAGCGTGATATATTCATGAAGGTGGAATAATGAATCGAGAGAGAGGAGAGAAGGTATACGCACATATCCGCGCGCACACGCGCCGCATCCCCGATGCCGATGCGGCGCAGCCGATGCGCGTTATCTTTCGTACCGGCGAATCGATCGCTTTATTTTTCAGGCTAGTTCGAAGCGACGAGAGAAATTTCTCAGTCTCTAATGGAGAAAGTCGAGTTTCAGACGATAATTTCATATAAATGCTTTGTTTTTTAAAAATCATTTATTTTTTTTAATTTGATACGCTAAATCGACCTTCCGCTTTGTTTCGCAATTTGACTTATTGATCGATCACGAAAAGAAGGGGAAGTTCGCCGTGCTGTCTTCATAATACGAAGCGCTATTATAAATATTAATAAAAATGCAAGATTCATAAGTTCATCACATACAAAGAACGGCGAGAGATGGATAGATGATTCCATGTCGTGGCAATCCTAGGCCGTGAATTTGTTTCAACCGTAGCGCGAACTAGTAACAGAATGATGAAGAGGATGGAAGGGCAAGGAAGGGTTAAGGACGCGTATCATACCATTTGATTAATGTACTTCATTCGTACATATCCGCCTATCTCTGCGCGATCCTGCCTACACGCGGATAGCTCGGACATGTCATTTGTTAGTTACTCTACGGAACGAAGCAACATATACAGGGTACAACAAAATGTTACGGAGAGAGAGAGAGAGAGAGAGAGAGAGAGAGAGAGAGTAATATAGCGTATGTTAGAATTTATAGTAAACGAAATAAAAAAATGTACTAAAATTACAGTCTTTTTCCCCACAATAAATTGTGAGTTTTATAAAAAAAAATCGCGATATTATCAAAATCTGAACAGTAATTAAATATCCGACTGCAAAAATTAGTTAATTATAAGTTAACTAATATAACAATAGTAATGATAACAGTAATGAATGAATAAAAAATATGTAAACAACGAATAAATAAAAGAATTTACACATTTGATACATGAAGTAATAAAAACTTTTAGATAATTCATTCATTAAAAAAACTATGATTCATTCTCTTTCTTTTTCTTCTTTTTAATTTTTAAGCTTTACAGATTTGAAAAAGACTTCTATTTCTGAAAATGCATTTGTCATATATCAAGTACAAGTAAAGTTTTGGTCGATCTCACTTACTAATCTGATAAATTGTAAGTGCACATTTTTTATATATGAACTTTTACATCTCGTCATACACAAGAAATACGTCAGTATCAGAAAAAAAATCTTGATAAAAAATACCAATGTCCTTTCAGATTTTAGTCGATTATTATAATGGCTTGAAATATATTCAATCGTCATATTTATTCAATAAATTTTATCAGACGAGAACTATATCTTACGCTAAAGCTAACACAAATCAGATGATATAAATGATATGTCAGCGTCAATTTCAACGATAAGTAAAGTGAGTGAAAGAAAAATTCTTACTCATTATTTCGTGACTAAGCTCACATGTAACACTTTCTTAAAGTACTTTGATAAAATCATTTATATGTTCAATATATTTACAGGAGAGAGAGAGAGAGAGAGAGAGAGAGAGAGAGAAGAAGAG